CACGTGCCGTGTCTGACTTACGCGAAGTGACCTTCACATTACGGTCCAAGGTGCATCCATTTTCCTGCATGTTCCATGTCTCCAATTGACGTTTCTATTTGTGGCTGGGTAACACTCCGCTGGGTATATGTTCCTGAATTAAGTCTTGCGCCCGGCAAGTGAAGGGTACAGCACACCGAGAGGGAGAGAATCCGAGAGCTGGAAGGGCCAGGCCTTTGCCGGCGGCGGGACGGAAGACCTGGCCGTGCAATCGCGGCATCCCCAAGCCAAGCCCTCAGGGAAAGGAGCCCGGTGACCAGGCCCCAGGAACCACCCTGGTGCCCCACGGCCCCGGGTCTGCAGGCTCTGGGGTCCCTCCGCTCCCCTTCTCTGCTTCTGATCCACAGGGAAGCTGAGCCACGATCCTCCCGACCCATCAGCCCCTCGGCTAGGTCATCTGCCCCGTCCACGGTGGTGACTCCCCACTTCCCCAGCCCCCCAAAGCCTGAGAACGAGGCTGCCTCGTGTGCACAGCCTAACCCTAGACATTCAGAGGGAGGTGCGGACACGGCCCTGGCCAGACACGGGGTCACCGGCCCTGTCCCGTGGCCCAGGCCACCCGCTGCCTTCGCTGTGACTGCGCTCATCCCAAGTCCTCTCACAAGCTGCAGCCACCATCTTCTCCTTGACCTCCCGCGGTGGTGGCAGGGGAGGCCCCTCGCCCCAAGGACGCGGCTGCCTGAGTTTCCTCAGCGACGTAAAAACCCTTTCCCGCGATGACTCCTCTGCTCCCCCTTGAGACAGGACAGTGTGCGTTTTGCACCTTCCGCTTTGCTGGGGCTGCCGTCTCCGGGCTGAGGCTTTCGATCCTCACATCTGAAAGCCCCAGGTAAACTGAGGCTCGTTTGCCCGCTCCTAAGGCAGGGTTAGCGCCTGCACAGAGCTTGACCCAGCCTGCTGCCTGGTTTTCTAAGAACGCAGCCACCCTGGTTTCTGCCACGAGGTGGCTCTGAGACAAATGGAAGAAGTTGTCACAGAGCCTGAATATTTATTGTCCTGCCCTCAAAGCAAGAATTGGTCAGCCCCAAACTTTCTCTCCAAGACAAGTTTTTTAAGAATTTAATTAAAATTTTATTAGTGCGTATTAGTTGTACAGAGAAAGGGGTTGCACCTTGGCACGTCAGTGCACGCAGGTAGCACTTTATTCTCACACAACCCCATTATCTTCTTCCCATTTCCCTTCCAAACTTTCTTATTTTATTCATTTATTTGATTTCTGTATTGTTGGTACCGGGGATTGAAACCAGGGCCTTCACACTTAGCTGCATTTCCAGCCCATTTTAATGTGTAAAACTTTGTGACAGTATCTTGCTAAGTCGCTGAGCTGCTCAGGCTGAATTTAAAATTGAGATGTTCCTGCCTCAGCCTCCTAGAGTGCTGGGATGACAGGCTTGTATCGCCAAGCCCTTCCAAACTTTTTTGGTTTTTGTTTTTTGATTTTTTTAACTATTTTCTTGTTTGGTACCGGGATGGAACTGAGGGCCTCACATTCACCAGGCCGGTGCTGTGCTGCTGAGCTACATCCCGGCTCTCTTCCAAGCCTTGGGTCCCATCCCACCACGACGCCTCTGAGTTGTGGGGAAGACTTGCAGTGATTGCTCTGCCCTTCAGGGAGTTGGTCCTGGTGCCAGTGGGCAGCAGCGGGCTCCCAGGGAGGCCGTGTGGGCACATGGAGGGGCATTGGGGACCTGGGGACACCCACTTCCGAGGCCAGCTTGGGGTCCTGAGGGAGTGCAATTAAGCCCTCGTTTTTCCCCTCACAGCATGAAACCTTCCACAGCTGCCCAGGCAGGAATGTGGTGGCCTGTTGCCCATGGGGAGTGGCAGTGGGACAGCCCACCCAAAGGGTTCCACGGGGCTGGGGGCTGGGGACCTGCTGCGGGAGGCATCTGCCACACCAGGCCTCGGGACGGAGGCAGGACAGAGGGAGCCTGCAAAGGACTCAGCCACCATGCACCCTTCATCAAATGTTTACTGAGGCTGGGCTGGGGGCGTGGGGGATGCTGTTGAGAACGGGATAGGACCCACCTGAATCATGGCCACAGGGAACACAGGTGAGGGCAGGGAAGGCTCACTCTGTCCCCGGAAGGAATCTCCCTGGCCCAGAGGATCTACCCTACCAAGCTCCCTCGGCTGGGCGATGCTGCTCAGGGGACAGGGACAGAAGGAGTTGGCTTCAGGAGTCTCACTCTGTGGCACCCATCCCCAAGTGTTCCTGTCCTACCTGGCCACCACAGCAACCAGAGGCAGTGTCAGTAGTGGCTGTGGGAGTGGGCGGGTAACTTAGTCATCCGTGGTACCTGGGGATGAGCCCCAGGGCCTGGAGGGAGGCAGGCAGCAGACAGCAGTAGGGGGAAGAAAGGGGCAAGAGTCCCACAGGCAGAGTGGCTGCCAGCCTTGGCGCTGGCCAGGGCACAGCTGGCTCTACCACGGCAGCAGAGAGAAGGAGGTGTTCTCCCCACTGGGCCTACGTGGCTGCAGGACTGTGGCTGCTCTTGGCCCTGTCTGGGGCAGCCACAGTCCTGTGCTCAAATCCCTCCCTTGGGCTCCCCACAAGCCCAGTGCTGTGGGGCTGTGGAGGGGGCAAGAGCCGGGGACTGAGGGCGGCTATGGGAGGAAGCTGTGCAGGGTGAGGTTGTCCCCCTCGCGGTCCTCCCTGTCCTCTGCCTTGAGGTCCTGGCCCTTGCTCACACCTCCGTTGGCTGTGGCCGAGGCTCCCTCTCCCCCATCGGGCAGCAGTGATGAGATGCAGACCATCTCAGTGGGGGAGTAGTTACGCACTGGGTACATATGGCCCTTGCGGGACAGGCGGACTGCCAGCACCACAGTGCACACGAGGAAGATGGTGGCCACCAGTGCCAGGATGAGGATGGCCAGAAGGCACTGCCTCACAGGGATGTGCCCTGAGGCCTCAGTCGGTGAGGGGGACATGGAGTTCCCAGTGGGCACAGCTGGTCCTTTTTTCAGGCCTGAGCCGGATAAGTTGCTGGCTGCCACGGTGCTGTCCTTTTGAATGACAGAGTGCCCGAGAAAGGTAACGGTGGGGGTGGGTTCTGTGGCTGAGAACTCTGTGGTGTCTGTCTCTGTAGACATAGCCACTGTGGCAATGGGCTCTGTGGCAGATAGCTCTGTGGACAGAGCTTTTATGGCTGTGAAACTTGTGAGCATGGCCTCC